CTGTATATATATATATATATATATACAGTATATATATATATATATACAGTTTATGTATGTGTGTATATAATATAATTATGTGAATCATTCATAAACCCACTTTATAATGCATAAACCCACTAAGCCATTACTGATTGGTTTTTAGTTTTCAAAACATTCTTAATTATGTTTACAAGTCTATCACAAATAAATTTGACAGTTTTGGCAAGTTTTGATTAGGGTTGCAAAAAGGTGGAACATTTCCAGTAAATTTCGGAAATATTCCAGACATGTTGGAAACTTTCCAGGATTTTTTGGAATATTCCAGGGATTTTTGGAAAGTTTCCGGAAATTTTCCACCCCTTTGCAACCCTAGTTTTGATATACAGTATGTTAGCCAGCTATACAACTTCATGTTGTTGACAAATCAGCAGAATTTGCAAACAGTATGGAATTCATCATTAAAAAACCCAACATATAAGTCATAAAAATGGATGTACAAGATCAATTAATGCAAAATTTTCAGTGACAGTGCAGAATTGGCCTAAAAGTAGAAGTGGCAGTTTTGTCAAGTGGCCCGAGAAACACTCTTACACCAAACCTGGGCCGGCGAGCTTTATTACGTTGCAATCTCATCCCCAAACTAGTTCTCTTTTTATTTGTCTCAGTTCTTGACTTCCATGTGTTTACAGGCTGCAGTCACGTTCCTAAAGGCCTGTCATTTACCTCCACCCAGTCGACTTCCAATCTCCCCTGCTTCCATCCCTGTGTCTCACACGCACGCTAATCATACAAATGGACTCCAGCCTGCCCTATCTGCTTCCTTTTACGACCTATCTGCCCATTCAAATTACCTCATGTATCACCTCCGAAGGCACTTCCATTTCATCCAGAAGCAGGAATATAGTTTTATTTGTTGGAGCTGATATGTGCTCACCACATGTGGTGTCTGGGAGATTTTTTTGATTATGGTTATTGTTATTATGTAAGTCTGAGGAGTCGAAGCAGGCAGGAGGATGAAAGGAAAATGAAGTTTAATTTTACAGCTCGCTGGGCCTCTGTTGGGCCGAGGCCTCCTACATATGCCGCCTGAGTGTGAATGGGTTTTACAGAGGTGGTTTTCTGATGTGCATGATGCTTTATGCAGCATTATAGAGGCGAGAATCACAATTTAATTTTTAATTGAATGCTAAATATATACATAAAAAGCAATATAAATGAATTAAATAAACACTTTGACAGAAATGCATGTACAATGGAGTAATAAGTATTATTTACATTAAATAATTAAGCACTTAGTTATTACATTGACTAAAAATGAGGGAAATCATAAGCAATTTATCATGAAAGAGCCAAGAATGTAAAAAGTGATTTTTCAAAGAAGTAATTAAAACAAAGATGACTGGAGTAAGTTTTACAATAAAACACTAGTCAGTTTTTCTACTTCAAAATGTAATGTTTAATTCCATGTGTTACTTGCTGTTTCTTTTGTAATTGTTTGTGAAATTTACTAGCAAATTTTAAGTGGAAACTGTTTCCATACCAGTTTTTTTTTTGACAGACTTGTAATTGAATACAAATTTTTACATTATTTATTGAAGCACCTTTTTTACCTTACACTGTAAATTTAATATAAGTTGTCAATAAAACAGATTTTTACAAGTATTTTTACAACAACATAATATTTGCAGTTTTTTTAATCTAAAAATGTCACGTTTAATCAGTATGTTTATCATTTCATAGTTTTTTTCTCTTTGTGAAATTTACTAGCAATTTCTAAATGTGAAAATTGTTTCAAAGTAGCACCATTTATTTATGTATTTATTTATTTATTGTGTGTATAAACTGAGGGATGAATCAATAGCTTGTACAAACCTAGGCTAGTTGTGTTGCACCTGTATTGTGAAATTTTTCCCTGGCTTTGTGTTCCGTAAGTGTCTTTATTAATGTTTTAGGAGAATTTACAGCATAATCCCCACGTGATCTCGACAATTTAGGTACTTATTCCCTAGATTACACCATTTAACACCAGTCATGATGGTGATTTGGTGGACAATCCAGTCTGCCATCAACACTTTACAGCTTAAATCCAATCATTAGTCCCAGAGGATCAATATACTTGGATCATATTCCCTAAACCAAGTACCATCCTGTGGAGGGAAGTATTAAAGCATCCCAAATCCCCCTCCTCCTCCTCTTTCTCCCCCCATAGCTGACATTGTCCTCTAAATTAACCCAGTAATGAGATTAGTGTTTCCTAGCTCAAGACCGTCTGCTGAAGGAGGGGCGGATAGAGGGAGCGCTACAATGGGATTCTGGAAGAGTGTGATAGCGCGAAGGTGCAGAGATAAGGATCGGTTGGGCAGAAATGCGCTCTGCAGACTTGAGTAATGACTCTGTCCCTAGTAACATTAGCTGTCATGATAATGGAGTATTTAGAGAGATTTATGCTCAGGGTTACCGGTCAAAATGGGAGCGATCATTTAAATAAGGGGGGATGGGGGGTATTCATGCACACTTACACACAAACACTCAGGTGAACGCTAGTTTGCTGACCCTTAGTGCAAAAGGTCATGGGAGGAGGTGCTGTCAAATTGGGGCTGTTAGTGTTGTTGTCCTGGTGAGTCCGCTGTGGTGTGTGTAATTTGGATTAATTAGCAGCCGTCTTTGAAGAGATTGTTTCCCGGCCAAATTAGCATAATTAACATTAATTGTCTCAGACGAGGTGTTCAAACTAGTAACATGCATTTGATCATTTATCATTTATTTATTTTCCAAATAGTTTTTGTTTTTGTTTTGTTTTGTTTTGTGTTGTTTTGTTTTGTTTTGTTCATTGGAACACTTGCAACTCATTTAATTTAATTTAGTTAATATAATCAATATACCGACATCTACTATAAGTGTTAGATTATAAGTTTATTTTTGCTTTCTCTAGATCAAATAAACTTGAAGACACCATCACGTTGATCAAGGGCAGAATAGAGGAAATTGACCTTCCTGTGGAAAAAGTGGACATAATCATTTCCGAGTGGATGGTGAGTGGATGTTTTTGTGCATTTTTCAATTTGTAAATATTAATATGCTTTCCATAGAGAAGAAAAATTCATTATACATCAAATTTTTTTTGCAATGGAATGCACTGCTCATTGAAGCAACATGGCTAGCTTTGCCTATAAAAGACTGCATTTGCAACAATTATAGTTGGGTTTGACCCAAAATTAGACATAAAGGATTTGTATGTGTCAGCGTCTTTTTTTCTGCACAGTCATTTCCCTTTTCAAAACCTGCCCAGGTGTTGGAAAATGAAAAAGCTGAGATGATGTATTGTTGATTGATACATGATATATTGCAGGCATAATCTGTAATGGCATAACTTTCATGCTCATTTTAGAAGCCAGGCATCACTCCTCATTTATTCAAACATGACTGACAATGAGTATGAGAAGCAAAACTTTAAGAGACACATGTTAAAGGAATAGTTCACCCGAAAATGAATATTTGCTGAAAATTGATTCACCCTTAGGCCATCCATGATGTAGATGAGTTTGTTTTCTCATCGTAACAGATTTGTAGAAATTTAGCATTACATCACTCGCTCACCAATGGATCCTCTGCAGTGAATGGGTGCCGTCAGAATGAGAGTCCAAACAGCTGATAAAAACATCACATTAATCCACAAGTAATCAGTGTGAAGCAAAAAGCTGTTTGTACTTAACGAATCCATCATTAAGATGTTTTTACTTCAAACCTTTACGAGACCTTTACCCATAATATTGCTTTCTCCAGTGGAAAAAGTCATCTCATCTGAATGAGGAGAGAAATATGCACAGATCAAGCACCCTTTACAAGCAACAACATCTGTTCTAAACAGATATTTCTCCACTAATGCAAACAACCTCATAGGCGCTTTTGAAAATAAACTCTAAAGAGTGCTATCAACGGGAATAATATTAAATTTGAAACCATATAGTTCAGAGTCTTAAAAGCATAGTTCACCCAAAAATGGAAAACCCGTCATCATTTACTCACCCTCATGTTGTTTCAACCATGTATGACTTTCATTCTTTTGTCAAACATAAAACGTTTCTCAACTAGCTTCTTTTACATTCCACTGAAGAACGAAACTGATACTGGTTTGAAATGATACTGGTGAGTAAATGATGACAGCATTTTCATTATTGGGTGAACTGTCCCTTTAAATCTGACCAAACATTTCTAATCCATTGTAAAATATCCAATGCAATAGTCCGCATCTTAGTTATTAGGGCCCGAGCACCGATGGTGTGAGGACCCTATTGGAATTGCTCCGTTTCTTATTATTCTTCCTCTTCTTCTTCTTCTTCTTCTCCAAAGTGAATCGCATTTTTGAGGGCCTAAACATGCTCCAAAACTCATGAAACTTTGCACACACATCAGAACTGGCGAAAATTTACATCTGATATGGGTTTCAGAATTGGGCGTGGCAAAATGGCTCGATAGTGCCACCTATAATATTTCAACGAAGTGCCCCTCGATAGTGATAGAGGAAGTTACTGTAACTCAGGCATGCAGTGTCCAATCTGCCCCAAACTTCACACGTTTGATAGGTGTTATATCCTGAACAAATACCCATGCCCTAATTCAGTTATACTCATAGCGCCACCTGCTGGCAACAGGAAGTGACATGCTTAACACTGTTATGGACTCCTAGGAACATATTAAAAATCGTCAGCAACTGTTACATAGGCTGGCAACATGCTAGAAACATACTAAAACATGCTAGCAACACTTAGCTAAGTGCTAAAGCATGCTATTAATGCAGTGAAAGAGGAAGTTACTGTAACTCAAACATGCAGTGTCCAATCTTCCCCAAATTTAAAATTTTGATAAGAGTCCTGTCCTGAACACATCTACGTGCCCGTTTTCGTTAATAGACATAGCGCCTCCTGCTGGCAACAGGAAGTGACATGTTTAGCACTGTTATGGAGTCCTAGGAACATATTAAAAAGCATCAGCAAGTGTTAAATAGGCTGGCAACATACAAGAAACATAATAAAACAAGCTAGCAACACTTAGCCGAGTGCTAAAGCATGCTATTAAAGCAGTGAAAGGGGAAGTTACAGTAACTCAGGCATGCAGTGTCCAATCTGCCTCAAACTTCACATCTTTAATATGTGTTAAGTCCTGAACAAATACCCATGCACAAATTCAGTCATACTCATAGCGCCACCTGCTGGCAACAGGAAGTGACACGTGTAACACTGTGATGCACTATTAGCAACACAGTAAAAACATGCCATTGTGTGCTAAACATGCTAGAAATATGCTCAAACATGCTAGCAACACTTACTAAGTGCTAAAGCATGGAATTAATACCATGAAAGAGGAAGTTGTTGTAACTTATGCATACAATGCCTCAATCTGCCGCAAACTTCACACGTTTTATGAGAGTCCTGGCCTGAACACATCTAAAAGCCAATATTCAGTTCTAAGTATAGCGCCGCCTGCTGGCAACAGGAAATTACTTGTTTCACAGTAACTTAAACATGCAATGTCTGATCTGCCCTTAACTTCCAGTGTTTGATAAGAGTCCTGGCCTGAAAACATGTACATGCCAATATTCAGTTATAATTATAGCACCACCTACTGGCAACAGGAAATGACTTGTTTTACACTAACTTAAACATACAATGTCCGATCTGCCCCTAACTTCACGTTTGATAAGAGTCCTGGCCGGAACACATCTTAAGGCCAATATTCAAAAATAATCATAGCACCACCTGCTGGCAACTGGAAATGACTTTGTTTACACTAACTTAAACATGCAATGTCCAATCTGCACCAAACATGACATGTTTAGTAACAATACTGGCCTCAAGATATCTACACATCAATGTTCAGTAATAATTATAGCGCCACCTGCTGGCAACAGGAAATGACTTTGTTTGCACTAACTCAAACATACCAGGTTCAATCTGCACCAGACTTCACATGTTTGATAAAAGTCCTGACCTGAAGACATCTACATGCCAACGTCCAGTTATAATCATAGCGCCACCAGCTGGCAGCAGGAAGTTTTTCACATATAAATGACTTTGACATATTCCTCTTATATTTACCACTTTAAATGCATATTGCCCACTCTTTGCTCTATTCCTAAAGCCATCGGGTGGCGGTGAGCCCGGGTGCGAGGGCCCTTTCATCGCTGCTTGCAGCTTTAATATTCTACTTATTATTCCTTGGCTGCAGAATTATGTGTAAAAATAATTATTAGTCTTTTGTCATATTGCTATTGCTGCTGCTTGAAAAATGAGCACGTTTCATGCTGTGCCTGTTAAAATGACTGTAATGCATGGCATCTTGTGGATAATTGCTTTGATTTCTATCCTAGCAATACAGAGAAACTGGTATTATGGATTTGACTGTGAGGAAGGCGATAAAAGCTTGTATTGCATTGCTGTCCTTGTTTAAGTTCCCTTAATTTGTAGTCCAGTAGGAAAGGGGAAAAGTAGGTCATAACTCGAGCCACCTAGCCACAGGCTCAAAAAAAGGACATTGGAGAATTTTTCTCTAAATTTGGAAACTTCCAGGAATTCTCATGTGAATTTGACCTGCATGCGATTTTCTGCCGTCTCTGAGTTTTTTATCGCTTGCAGGTTAATTGTGAAATAATAAATGTTTTATATTTCGTCCCCTTTTGTCTGCGTGTTGGGGCTATAATTCAACAAAGTCTGTGCCTGAGGCAGCGGCGAGCGTGTGTATGATTTTCCAGTATGTACCTGTGTTTGGATGTGTGTGTGCAATGCTTCTGACAAAGTAACCTGAGATTTGGGTCACTGGAGCACATTATTTTATGATTACAACTCTGGCTTGCTAAATGGCGTAAAAATCCTGCCCTTCATCATCTGTGCAATGTCATCCATTTCATTCCGAAAACGTCTGAAGTGTTTGTGCATTGCCACTATTTTCTTGTGAAAGCAGGGGAGCGTACAGCCGTTTTCTGAAAATCATTTTTCAACATGTTATGGAACAATAGTTTTACAATTACCTTATTACACAGTGTTGTAGGAGACACATGTCCACATAAAAATGCAGTCACCCTGCTCCACCACCTCCGATATCTAACTTTGACGTGCTTGTCAATCCAAAAGGATTAAAGGCTGAATGGGGTCACATGGTCGTGAGCAGAGTATTGCTGTACATTGATCCATAAAAGCTTCCAAAACAGACCGTAAAAGTAAATTACAAGATAAGCAATAAAAAAATTGGTGTAGGATTTAGTTGGAAATTGTAAAGGAGTAAATTTCACAAATAAATGTTAATTTATTAAACATGACATTTTGAAGTAGAAAGACTGAAATTGTGTTCACTTGTAAAATGTACTCAAATATTTTTTGTTTTTTACAACTATTTTTTTTGGGGGGGGGGGGGGGGCAGTTTTTTGCAGTGAAAATTCAAAATTTGTTGAGCGAGTAAAAAAAAAAAACTTCTGACCTTGCCTTATTGACCATGTTAAACTTACAATATATATTTTTTTATAATGATTTATGTATTTTACATGAACTTTATTAGCGTTTTGTGTAGAATTCAGCACCTGGCTTCTAGGGAAGGTTTTCGCTTTTGTGCTTTTTTTTAATGTGTTGTTTTAAAAGTTATTTTAGTAACATTCAGGTACTCTTACAGTTTTTAATTAATATTTTGAATTAGTTTGTACTTTTTTAATGCAATTTTAGTAAAAAATCTTAGTAATTTTGTTCTGTGTTTTTGTCTTTTTTAACATTTCTTTTATAAATGTCTATATATATATATATATATATATATATATTTTTTTTTTTATTATTATTTTAATGTTGTTAAATGATAATGTGAAATATTGCCTTGACAATTTAGTGAAAACATATTTTTTTATAAATTTTTCTGTAAAGAATTTTTTTTATTGTTTTAGTCAAATTTAACTATAAAAACCCAGCAAAGGAGGAATAGTTTTTTTCCCCAGATGTGTACCGCATGTGTGTTTAAGGTAGCTGATTTTAAACATTCAGCAAGTCATCAAGAT